GTCCAGGACCCTCTATTGTGATCCCTGTCAGAGCAGTCAGTGGTGGTAGCCAGGCACCATCTAGTTGTGCTGGACTCAGTCTGGTGGAGGCTGTGGCAGTTGTGGTCCATTAGTCCTTTGGACTACTCTTTCCCTTGTGTCTTTGGTTTTCTTCATTCTCCCTTGCTCCCAATGACGTGAGACCAGCGGAATGTCTTAGATGTTGCTCACAGGCTTTTAAGACCCCGGATGCTACTCACCAAAGTAGAATGTAGAACATTTTCTCTATAAACTATGTATGCCAATTGAGTTAGATGTCCCCCAAAACCATAGTCCCCAGCCCTCAGCCCAGTAATTTGGTCCCTCAGGGAGTTTGGATGTGTCTGTGAAGCTTCCATGACCTTGCCTTGGTCAAGTTGTGCTGACTTCCGAGTTGAGATTCTCATTGGCTCCTCCTGACTCCAGTCTTGTCTCTTTGGCCCAGGAATTTCCACCCTCTCCCTGTCCCACCCCTTTTCTAGGCTGTTTAAAAACTAAAAAATCCATTGCCATACAGTCCATTCTGACTCATGGCGACCCCATGTGTTACAGAGTAGAGCTGCTCCACAGGGTTTTATTGACTGTAATCTTTATGGAAGTAGATCGCCAGGACTTTCTTCTCTGGTGTCACTGGGTGGGTTCGAACCAACAACTTTTAGGTTAGTAGATGACTGCCAACCATTTTGCCACCCAGGGACCTTCTAGGCTATTTAGCAAGAGGCAAAATACTTGTTTCCCCATTCGTTCACCCACTTGAGGTGTGCCTCAAATTCATCTTTATTTAACAGAATTGTGATAAACCCAGAGTTGGACCATCCCCACCATGATTCAGACTGATGTCCACAGACTGACCTGCCTATCTCAGTGCTGGGGAAAGGTGAAAGGGTGCAAGCTAGCAGCCTCTCCCAACTCCCTTCTCATCACCAATGCCTCACGGTCTGGGGACGGAAGGGGGAGATGGAAATCATAACAATAAATTACAGCTTTGTTGAACACCATGTGCCAGTTATTTTGCTAAGTACTTCACATGCATCAACTCATTTCACCCTCTGAGGTGCCTCCTCAGAGCCTAAGGTCACCCAGCTCTTATGGAGGCACCAGGATTGAAACCAAGGTCTTTTGATGCTATAGTTTCTACCATGGGAGACAGCATGAAAACCCCAGTGGCATCTTTTGTTGATGGTTTTGCTTTTCTTTTACAGAAAAACGCTGTGATTGAAAGCCTGCAGGAACAAGTAAACAACGCCAAAGAGAAGCTAGTGAGGCTGATGTCAGCCGAGTGTTCCTATGATCCCCCAGAGTGGGCTGTGCCCCCTGCCTCTTCCCAGAGCGCCAGCATCCAGGCTGCAGCCTCTGGCTATGGTGCAACAACTCAGGGGTCTTCGGAAGCCCTCTCTGACTCTCCGAATGATACCAGCCCGGCTGTCCAGGACTCTCAGAGTACCTCAGTGCCTTCCTCAAGTATACAAAGCCTCAAGGCGCCTGTGAAGGGCCCCAGCCCCTCCCCAGGGCAGAAGGAGAAGATGACTCATTTAAACTCAGGCTGTAGCCAGAAACCAAGGGCTGAGCAAAGTGGGAGTCCTGGAGGAGGGAGCCAGGTGCCCACGGCCCCCAGCCAGAGTCCTGTACGGGGTGACGTCTCTGCTCCCCACAGACAGAGGCAGCTGGAGAACTCAGAGAAGCGACAAGAGCGGCTGTCAAGGGTCAATTCAGTGATCAGGGAGAAGCTTCAGGAGGTGTTACAAGATCTGAGCCTGGGCTCTGAGGCTCCCATCCCTTATTCCCCCTCTTGTCCCCAGCAGCCGTTGAAGAGCAGTGCTGCCCGCAGCCCCCGGAAGATGCCCTTCCCCAAGGAGCTGGGCTTCAGCCCACATATGGTGAGGAGAAGGCAGGCAGCTCAGTGGGCGCCCTCACACTTCCCATGCTCTGTACCCTCATATGTGGGGCATCGGGCAAACAGGACTGTTTCTGGAGCACAGAGTGGGCTGAGTGTGAAGAATGTGGAAAGCTGTAGCCAGGACCACCGAGCTGCTCATCCCAGGGTACCAAGGCCCACTTCCAGGAAGTCTTCACTACTACCCCCAGATCCTCGAGGCAGGCCAGGTGCCCTGGAGGACAGCAACCAAGGTCAGACAGAGCCCCAGAGGGCAGGAAGGAGTGGTGCCGCCTTTCCTCACAGGCTTTCTGGTTCTGGTCCAGCAGAAAGCCCCTCTTCCCCACTCCTACCCAGAGCCTCAGCAGACCTGCCTGAGCAGCAGCAGCTGCAGCCTTCCGGGTCGCCAGCCTGTCTCTCGCTGTCTTCTCCATGCAGCTACCTTGACACTGAGTCCAGCAGCTCAGATGAGTTCTTCTGCCACTGCCACCGGCCCTACTGTGAAATCTGCTTCCAGAGCTCCTCAGACTCCAGTGAGAGTGGCATGTCAAACACCAACCCCGAGCCTGCTGGGGGGCTGGCCTCCTGGGAAAAGCTGTGGGCCCGCTCAAAGCCTATCGTGAACTTCAAAGATGACTTGAAACCCACACTGGTGTGAAAAGCAGCAGAGCTGGTCTGGACACAGACGTTGGTCCCACACAAGCCTTACCAAGTCTTCAGGAGGATAGCCAGCTTCCAGCCTTTAGGGGAGCAGACCAGTACCCTCCATTTGGCCCTTTCTATGTTCCAACTATGCTACACCTGTGTCCACTGTGTTGCCTTGAGCATGTCTTGATCTATAAAAAGAGGGGTATTGTTTGTCGTTACTACCTCACAGCATTACTGTAAAAGACTCCAGTTGAGTGACTAAGAAGATACTGACTCCTTGGATAAAAGGTGCTAAGTGAGCACATAGGGTTTTCTGTCCTGGTCAGCCTGCATTCTAGAAAACCCTTAATATATACCAAATGGATGGCTGGATGGACAGATGGATAGAGAGATGGATGGAAATCTTCTGCAGACCAGAGTTGTGAACTGTGACCCATCAAACTGGCCTTTTGGTTGACCTGCTGGGAAGATAAATCTCCTGCATCCTTGGGCCTCCCTACTCTTAGAAGAGGGTAGTTTTGTTTCTGCTAAAAGTTGTGCACGGCACCTTCCCTAGGGTCCAGCTTCTGGCCAGATTCAGCTCAGAGCCACCTCTACACCACTACTTCTTATTCATGTCTTTCCAACATAATGGCTCCTGAGCCAATCCAGGCCTCCACGTGCCCTCAGGCTCCCCACATCTCTTTCCTGGGTTCGGATGATTCCTGAAGCCCAGACCTTCTCTTGGTCCTATGTCCCATCCCCTTGACTGTCCCAGTGGCAGAGTCTGTGTTCATGAACTTGAAAGTTTTGAATTGGCAGGAAGCAAACATTGGCAATCTCTGTTGGGGTAAGGGAGACCCTGTGAATCAAGAGGTGCTTTGGGTGTCATTAGGGTTAGATGACCACCAACTGATACATAAAGAAAATGGGAAAATAGAAAGGAAGAAATGGAGTAATAATGGGAGAGAAGAAGGTAGGAAAGAAATCAGTTTTTGAAACTTGAGCCTTGCACAGGACTTGGCAATATCAAATTTCAGTAATTCTTTATGATAAGCCTGTGAAGTAGACACTGCCGTTCTCATTTTTACAGATGAGGGATATGAGGCTTATAGAGGTGAGGTAATTTCCCCAACATCACACAGCTAGAGAACGATGGATGCAGGACTTGCACAGAGCTCATGTGACTCCAAGTTGAGTGGATTTCCTCAAGGACACATCTCTTCACTCATTCTTCTGGGAGTGGCAGGAGGGGCTTGGCAGACCAGAGAGTAAAGCAAGGGTAGTCTGTGAAAGCTGAGATGCGCTCACACTGCAGTCCTGGGCAAGGCCTCACTAAAGAAGCAGGACTCCAATTAGTGCTCCAGAGGAGGTGTGTGCGGCACATCTGCATCTCTCAAGGGAGCCAGAGAGTTGGTGACGGGTGAGTGCCAGGCACGCATCTGCCACCAAAGCCACAGGGAGAGCACAGCTGGATCCACTTTGCTTGTTGCTGAGCTGGCTGTTGTTTACAGGCCACCCCCTACCCCCACTCCCTGTGCATCTGTGTGTGTGTGCATGTGTTGGCATGAAGGCGCTTGGGCCTCATTAGATATGCTTGGAGGGGGGCATTTGGCTCTAAATATCTACAGAAGATTTATTATGGACTCTCAGGGGCTGCTGACACTTTGTGAATCTCTGGATACGGGACCAAGAGGCCCTCCTGGTAGCACAGCTTCTCATATCTACTTTTTAAATACGAATTTCGTAATTTATTCTTGTGTGGGTTTGTAGTTTCTGCTTGTGCTATTTGTATGCTGTCCAAGTGAGACCTCAATAAAAGAAAAAGAAATGATTGCCAAGGTGAGTCTCTTCAGAAATTGTAGTCTCAGGCTGGTGGGGGAGGAGCCTTGAGATAACTGAACGACTGAAGGGCTGAAGAAGTAGAAACACAGAAGGCATCAGAGTTACTGCTGGGTTGCCCTGGGTTCCAAACGTATCTTCTACCAAACTTCCATTTGTAACAAATTCTTTTGTGGTCTCCCCATGCAGCTCCCTATCCCAGAAATACCTGCCGCACTGGAGACCCTTGCCTCTTCCCACACACCAGAAGTCTGTGACTGAGCTTCACCCTCTTTGTAAAAATGGCGTGGTGGGGCGTTTGACCTCCTTTAACTTCACAAGGGGGAGCAAGAATAATTATCAGCATCAACAGCCCAAGACCAAGTGGTATAAGGTGGAGGTCAGACATACCTCCACCCTCCGACCTTTTTACCAATTCTGACACCAGCCGTCCCTGCCATGGCACTCTCTGCTGGGTTTGATAATTTGTTGCAATGTCACACAGAACTCACAGACCATACTCATGGTTATGGGGTTTATTAGGGAGGTAACAGGTTACGATTCAGGATCAGGAACGACTCAGGATACAGTTCTTTGGTCAAGACAGTTTCTCAGCCATGCCTGCAGGCAGGCCTTTCTCTCTCAGCCCTTTGGCCCCTTGACCCAGCCTCTGCCCTGCTCAGGCAAAGCTCCTTGGCGCTGCCAATAAGTGCCCAGAGGTGCCCCATTCCACCAGAAAGCCTCCGGCCTGAAGGCTGTCATCTCTCTCGCTCCATGGGCCAACATGCTCACTGTAGCCACCTTGCTCCTTGGGCAGGGAAGTCTATCACACCATCTCATGCCAGTCTCTTGGTTCTGCTGCCACCATTTCTCTGCCACTGCTCACTGCTTCTCACTACCTTGCACCATCTCTGGTGTTACTTCTCTCTCTTTCTGTCTCCTGGGTCTAGGAGGTTCTCAGTGCAGGTACCGGAGGTCCAAAGACATGCGCCACTCCCGTCTCTTCTTCGTGGTAGTGAGGTCCCCTCCCTGCTCTGTGATTGGCTGTCTTTTAAGCCTAGAAGAATGGCAAAACTGACCAATCCCCTTGTAAGAGTTCCATATACCTTATTTGCATTATCAGCAAGCTGTCCAATCCCCTTGGTGGGCCACAGCACCTTATTTGCACAGTCCCACCCAATCCTTTTGTAGACGTCACAAGACCATGGTGAAAAAGGCCATATAAAAGTGATTCATTGCACTGCACACTTCAGCTCCTTTCCTCCCAGTATGCCACCACTAGCAGCCTGCATTAATATGGAATATGGAGGCTGTGGACCTGGCCATCCCTCAGGCCTTCTCAGTGTCTCTGCTCTGATACCTTTGGTTCTAGCCATCCCAACAACTCTTCTATATCTCCATGCTTCTTCTGTCTAGAATTTCTTATCCCCCTTTGTGCGCTTTATGAATTACTCATTCATCAAGACTCAGGTGGAGCATACTTTCTCCCTTCAGTGTTTCCTGACCACCCCCAAATAAAATTGACTGATCCTTAGTTAAATATGAAAGGATATTTTGGAGCCCTTGTTTGGGACTCAACTGTATAGAGTTCAGTTATCCATTTTACCTATGACGACTTTGTAACCCTTGCTATACCTGGTTGAAAAGGTGGAGAATCTACTCCTCATTTTCCTTATTTATCATTTGGTTCAAAAACTATGTGTCAAACACTATGACTACTGCCCAAAAATACTGTTGTCTGCAAATCTGTCATTTACTCTGCCTACCACCCTCACCCCTCCTCTTTGCCAGCTCCTTTCCTAGATCTTTCACCCAAGACCAGCTAATCCAGTGATGAAATTATTAAAGGCATAAGTGTACCATGACTTTTAGAAAGGGCAATAAATTGTGCGAAGGAATCCTAGAGAAGGAAACATTGCCTCTGCCACTGTCATCAGGACTATGCATGCCTCTATTAGTCCTAAGGTGTGGCATGGAGCCAGGCCTGATTCTGACCCCAGCCACATGTTGCTCTGCTGAATAAAAATCCTGGGGTTGGCAGTGTCCATCCTGATCCAGAAGTCTTCCCCTGTTCCCTGACCAAGCCCAAATGCTCTTTACTTAAAGAATTGACTTGTTCTGGAGCTGTTAGAGGAGAAAAAAACAACAGCTGTAGGAGGCCTGCTTTTAAAGACGCTTATCACTTAAAAAATGGTAAAGAGGAAATTTAATGCAAGTTCCATAAAATCTCTTTTGTGTCTTTATTCTATTATACTTAGATGTGTCTCTTTCACAGATTGCAAGTTTCTGGAAGCTTTGACTGTGTCTTATTTATCCTTGTATCCTCAAGAGTAGCCTTCAGAGTACCTTGCAGAAAGTGTTAACCCAATAAACGTTTGATGGATGAATTTCTAGGCAGATAAATGGATGCAACAAAAGAAGGCAAGAAAACAAAGGAAGGAAGGTATTATGGATTAAACTCTGTACCCCAAAAGATATGTTGAAGTCCTAACCTGTGAATGTGATCTTGTTTGGAAGTAATTGGGTCTTTGAAGATGTTACCAGTTAACATTAGGTCATCCTGGAGTAAGGTGAGTCCTAATCCAATATGAGCAATGTCCTTATAAAAGAGGAGAAGATACACATGGAAGATGGCCATGTGAAGATGGAGGCAGAGATTGGAATGCCATGGATTGCTGGCCATCATCAGAAGCTAGGTAGGAGAGCAGCATGGAACAGATTTTCCATCAGAGCCCTGAGAAGGAATCAACAGGGCTGATACTCTGATTACAGACTCCTGACCTCCAAAATTGTGAGACAGTAAATTTCTGTTCTTATAAGCCACCTACTTTGTGAAGGAAGCACTAGGAAATTAACACAGACGGCAAAGAACCTGTTCTGGGACTAGACAGACCTTCTGACTTCACTGCCATCCAATGAGCTGAGGTAAGAACACGAAGCAGCATCACTAAAAGACCCAAAAGTAACTGAGTTCTGAGAATGGCAGTACTTCAAGTCTCGAAGGGAGGTAGGATAGGGCAGATGGAGTTTATGGCAGAGAAGCAAGAAACCAATTTTGATAAAGGTCTTCCCTTAAAGATGCTTTCTTCACAGGCTTGTAAATGGGTAACAAGCAGTATTAGCAGGAGGACAGTCCATTCATCTTTATCAGCATTCCTTCCTAAGTCTGATTCCTCGGAGCCCCAAACAAAGCAGGTTTCTCTGTTCCAT